CTCGATTAGATTTATTGATTTAGTGATTGGGGTGATTGGGGTAATGGAGGTATGTGTGTCAGGGACAATAAGGTTGGCTCAGGATAGAGCAGCATTCAGAGCTGTTGTACATAGGGTGGCTATGGTTCGCAGGTGACTTGACACATGTAACACAACAGCAACTGTGTTGTTATGTGCTGTGAAGTTGGAATTAACTAATAGCTGACCCTTCAATGGGTTTTCAGAAGAAGTGTATCACATGGGAGATTACCCCTCTTCTATGGAGCACCTGGCAGATTGAGACCACATGCCTTTGAGTTGTTAGTGCAACTCCTTACTATTAGGCCACTACCACACTCATTTGTTAATTCATCCATGAAGCCATTTGGACATTTTTGAAGAATTGTCTGCATGCTACACACTGGCCACAACTTACGCCGTTAAGCAGTGTGCTGCTGTCAGTATCCACCTCTCACTGATCAGGGAACCCCCACAGATGTGTTCGGAGCCCATTCGTACGCTGACCATCCAAGGCCAGTGCCCCTCAGCAGCATCCATGCCACCTACAATGCGGCTTGTGTATGTAGGTCTTCCACATACTAAAGAGGAAAGAGAGAAATGTGACAGTATTTGAGTTCTGGTCCTCGGGTCCTACCTTGCCTAAACAAAAATCTGTTGTCATCCAGTCTGTTGTAACTGCTGGTGACCTCCTGCGTTAGTGCAAAATAGAACTGCATGTTGAGTTTTCCTAACTATCAATATTGTGGAAACAGATCATATGACCTTTCCCTCCTGCCACTGTTGTGTGGATTTGAATTGCCAATTTTTAGCCTAGTACTTGAGTGCAAACTGTCTTTGCTATCCAGTAACCTCCTACCATCCCCAAACCACCCCCTGCTTCCATCCCCATCCAGTTCCAAACCCAGGTGTTTGGGGCCCAAATTCAAACCACTCACTTTGCTCTTGACGATTTTCATTAAGGGGAGAGAACGTTTGGGCCGATCCTAAGAAAGATACACTGAATTATTACTATATAATAGCACATTTTATATCTGCATGAATTGAGCCTGAGTCTTCTCAAGCATACCCCAGATTGAAGTTAAAGATCAAATTTTGACAATTATCTGCCAGGTAATGTTGTTGTTAAGTGCTGTCGACTCGACAGGCAACTCATAGTGACCCTATGAAGGAGAGTTCTCAATGTTTGGGTGCCTTTCATCCTCTCTCCACGTTCATAGGATTTCCGGAGGCAAGCTGTTATGGAAGTGGAGCCAGGTAATGGGGCTTTTATAATTACATACTCACCTGCCACTTTAGCAACAAGCATAGAACATGATTTAACTGTTATGGCTTGATCCCAAGTTGTCATGTTGTTGTTAGAAGCCATCTAGCCAAATATGACTCATAATAACCCTATGAACAACTGGTCTGAACATTGTCCAGTCCTGTGCCATCCTCACAATCTCTGACACCCTTGAAGCGCATTGGTGCAGTCACTGTGTCAATCTACTTGGTCAAGGGTCTTCCTCTCTTTTGCCTATGAAAGTTGTCATAGAGAATAGCAAGGATTGTGGCCTGTAAGTCAAATCATATCCTCATTTGCTTGTGAAGTTTATAAACTGGTGACTTTTCTGCTGCTTTTGAAGCTGAATTTGTATTTTGCTTATAGCAAAATATAACAATAT